CCAAAAGTAACGATAGTATTACAGCGACTTATCTCGGTTACCGCCGTAGATGACGTTATCAATATAAAGACGGGTACCTGCAGATTGAGAGCGTCTATAGAATTGGCTAGCCAATTAGTAACCTCATCTTTCTCTTTCTGAGCTGGGTCCAATTTCTGCGCAGCGCCTAAACCTTCTTTAGAGTAAGCCTTTGTTTTCGTCTCTCTTTCTACAACTTTAAATCTTTCCATTTGCTATAAAGCACAAAACATTTACTCACACAACTTATTCGCCACAACTTACGCGTCCTAACGTATTCGGTTCTATCCCGATCCTTATAAAAAGAATATTAAAAAAAAAATCAGTGTAGCAGATATACTAACAGTCTCGATCAACTTCCGATAGTCGAGAAGCGTGCTCTTGTCCTTTATTTCACCCGACGCGATCCAGCTCTTGATTTGATCGCGTAACCTCTGAAGTTTCTTGATTTCCTTTTTGAGATCAGCCTCGTACTTTTCCTTCTGATTGCTGTTCGTGGCATTGTGAACTTTTTGCCAGATATCTTCGAATGTCTCCACACCCTCTGTCACTTTTTTAAGGCACCGATCTATTTCACCTGAAACGACAAAACGTATATATACAAGTCACCGCGTTATCTTGATACAAATTGCTCGATCTTATTAGGGGAGTAAATTATATCGGGGTGATTTAACGTAAAACGCGACAGCATTCAGCCTCCCTCACTTCGACGAACAAACCAATCGCGCGAATGTTTTCAATCAAATCAATTTGACTTGTTGATCAAACGACTCCCAAGTGCTCGGTCATTATTTTTCCGTTCGGGTAAAATAAAAATCGTAATTTACACCGCGTATTTATCAGAGAACGTTAGAAAGAGAGAGAGAGAACAAAAATTATAAATACGATCCTAAAAAAAAGTGTACAGCGAACAAGTAAACATCATCGACCATTGTACTAGAAAATTATAAGAGAAAAAGCTCTTTGTTCTCGCGCGATGGTCTCCGGCCGAGAAGCGTTCGCATTCCACGTCTGTTCACGGGTGAAAACGTGTCCGCGGGAAGCAGCGTTCGAGGGGACACGACTCGCACCGTCGCGACCAGTCAAGGAGCCAAGGTTCTTTTTTTCACGTTTACCCTTTCGTAGAAACGCCATTCAGCCGTTAGGTTATAGCAACGCGTAATCTCTAACGAACGTTCGAAATCCTCGCTCGATCTTGCTTGAACACCGAAGCCACCAGCACGCGCCTGAACTCCTTCAAGCGCCGAGCCAAGGTTGAAAACTTTTAAAGGTTATGCCCGACAGAATAAAAAGCCGCCGCGTCGGCCACGACGGAGGCTCCGCCGCGACCCGCGGGGACGAGGCGAGTCGAGTCGAGTCCGCGGGCTCGGGGCCGAAGGCCCGAGCTCGCGCGTCACGGCGAGCCCGTTTCGTAGCCATTTGGCTGCGGGACGCTGGACTGGGGCCGCGCGATACGCCGTGCTGCCGGCGTTGGAGCGGCGCGTCGCGACTTGGCGCGATCCGCACACAACACGCGCGGGGTTTAGGCGGGCCGGCGACGCGAGGCCGCGGCGTCGGGCCGAGCCGAGCCGAGCCGCGCGCGACGGCCCGAGCGGGCGGCCGCGGCTCGGCCGCACGGACCCGATGCCGCGGCTCGGGACAGGAACGGCCGAGTTACATCGAAATGTAAACACGTTGGAAACACTTTCTCCTCACCTTGCAACTTTCTTGTCGCAGCCATGGCTATGTGAACGTGCGATAAAATGGTTCATGCATAGTCTAGACGTATTTGGTGTGATACGAAGCAATTTATCGGAACAAACAGCCGCGGAACTATTATTTCCCGTATGATATGGGAACCTCGGCCACAAGATGGCTTCCGTTTTCAAATGACAACGTCCGACCGTCCGTGAGTGTGTCGCGCACAGAGAGCCCCACCGCGTAGCACCGCCTCTAGAGACTTCCTTGCGACGCGTGGCCCCGCCGAGCCGAGTGACGCCAGACCGCGCGATTACGTTGAGGTACCTCCTGGCCGCGAAGCCGGCGCGTCTCGCTTTTTGCCGCCCGTAAAGGAATCGCGAGAGAGGCGAGTGGCATCAACAAACGTGATATACACGAGATATGGGGAGCGAGATAGCGCGATACGCGTCGACGCACTCGACGCATTCTATACCCGATGCGCGTACATACGCTCGAGGGCGCTGCGCGCACGCGCGAGATCGCAGTGACGTGGTACCTAGAGACTCGACCGCCGCGCGCGATTCCCCTATAAAAAGTCGGTTCGATCTCCCCGCGCTCGGGATGTGTTCGAAAATGGATTTAGTTACTGCCAGTGAAAACAGTATAGTTGGTAGCAATGAAAATTACTGGTGCTGCGTTTTTCGCACGCCAGTAAAGTCAGTAAGGCTGGGTCTACATTGGATGTCGTAAGTCGAATAATGAACTGTGATTGGTCAA